AGATGGGATTTCACCACATTGGTCAGGTTGGTCTCGAACTCCTGACCTCATGATCCACCTGCCTCAGCCTCCCAAAGTGCTGGGATTACAGGCATGAGCCACCGTGCATCGCCTGGACGTAAAGCTTTTTAAAGATACTCTATTAGTTACCTACTAGTTCATAACAAATTACTACAAAATCCAGTGGTGACTCAAGGGTTTTTGGACTGAAAGCCTTGGTTTCTTGCCAGCTGTCAGCTGGAAGCTGACATCAGGTCCTTGCCAAATGGGTTTCTCCATTCTGCAACATGGCACCCTGCATAATCCGAGGAAGTATATGAGAAGAGAGTAAGAGGAGTTCAGACTTTCCCCCTAAAGATTCAATAACTTAGTCTGCTGAAATACACTGGCAGTAGACATATTAGCAGGAGAAAAAAAAAAAAAAGGCTACATATTTACTATGCACACGTGTGCATAGAAGCCACACAAAATATGAGACTGAAAGAAAGGTTAAATACTTGAAGCTTAATTACTCTCTTCATAGAGTAGAGGGAAGTGGGGGGGTACAGGCAATTTTAGAAGAAGAAGAAGTGATTTTTAGAGGAGAGGAATGGGCCTGAGGAACAAAGGGTAGCCTGGGACAAAGTTTCCCTGGGCTCTGGGTGTAGTGTCAACTCTGGTCTTTCTTCCTGCAGTATGCATCAATTTCCCGTTTAATGAGATATCTGAGGAAGGAATCCAAATAATTGAATATCTTCTGGAGGATAGGATCTTTAGGTAGATAGGGGATTTTAGAGAAAGCTCTTTCCTCCATTTGCTTCTCACTGGGTACTCTTAGTTTAAAGTCTAAAGTGGCTTATTTTGGGGTATCATTTTCTAAGACAGAGACAGAGAGAGAAAGAGTGCAAAAACATGAACGTCACAATTTTTTTTTTTTTTTTTTTTTTTTTTAAGACAGAGTTTCGCTCTTGTTACCCAGGCTGGAGTGCAATGGCGCGATCTCGGCTCACCGCAACTTCCGCCTCCTGGATTCAGGCAATTCTCTTGCCTCAGCCTCCTGAGTAGCTGGGATTACAGGCACGTGCCACCATGCCCAGCTAATTTTTTGTATTTTTAGTAGAGACGGAGTTTCACCATGTTGACCAGGATAGTCTTGATCTCTTGACCTCGTGATCCACCCGCCTCAGCCTCCCAAAGTGCTAGGATTACAGGCGTGAGCCACCGCACCTGGCCCCACAATTTTTTTTATAACCTGATCTTGGAAGTGGCATCCTATCACTTTGTAACATTCTGTTTATCAAAGGTAAATCACTAGGTCTAGTTCATGCTAAGGGGAGGGGATATACAAAGGGAGTAAATCTCAGAAGGGAGTGAGCATTGGAGGATAGAGCAAGGGCCTACCACAGGCACTATTATGCCATTCCTGTTCATGTATTTCTTAACCAGTTCACAGGTGAGTGTTGAGCACATTGTAGTATTCAATACATACTTGCAGATTTTTAATTTGTTAAAAACCTCTGTCATAAATATGAACGATATTGTATCAAGTACTCTTGTAATTTAGAATGTTCCACTTTTCCAAAACAATTTCCTAAGTCATGGTGCATCCCAATGTAAAAAACATTTAAATCTAATTGAGGTAATATTAAGACTAGCTGAGTGAACTCTTTATATGTGTTTTCCAGCTCACATATAGAAATGAGTATTTGGATTCTAGTCATTTACATATCCACCCCACCCCAGCCATGGAGATTTGAAACCCTGTATTCTAACTTAGATGTACCTATTATATCCTTTTTTTAACGTAATTTTAAAAATTGCATTTTTATTTGATGAGTAATTGTATGTATTTACTGAGTATAATGAACACCTGTTAGGAAATCTATTATCTGAAAGATGAAAGGTAAGTATTGGCAAGGGTATTGGGAAAGGGAACCCTTGTATATTTTGTTGGGACTCAGAAACTGATTTTCTGATATATGGCACTGAAGCAGTGTCTTTTGTCTGGGGTGATACCCTGTGTTCGTTGACTCCTGCCAAGGAAATCAAGGACATGGACACACAAGGAGTAAGTTTAAGAGCAGAAGTTTAGGCCGGGTGCGGTGGCTCACACCCATAATCTCAGCACTTTGGGAGGCCGAGGCCAGTGGATCAGGAGGTCAGGAGATCTAGACCATCCAGGTCAACAGGTTGAAAACGGATCTCTAACTAAAAATACGAAAAATTAGCTGGGCATGGTCGCACACCTCTGCAGTCCCAGCTACTCAGGGAGGGGCTTAGTTAGGAGAATCCCTGGAAGCCGGGAGGCGGAGGTTGCAGTGAGCCAAGATTGCACCACTGCTCTCCAGCCTGGGCAACAGAGCAAGAGCAAGACTCCATCTCCAAAAAAAAAAAAAAGAGCAGATCTCCCAGTTTGGAACGTCTTCGCTGTGGCTAACACTTTCTTTCCTTTATCAGCTACGATAAAGGGCACAGGGCATGATCCAAGGCAGAAATTAATAATTAGTATAAAAATGGGAATTGATAGATGATATTTCATTTTACTTTTCTTACATTTATAAATGTACATACAGACCTCAGAAACAAACAAATATCAGAACATACACATCTTCCTTTAAAATTTGAGAATAGTAAGAATGACTTTACTCCTTTTCCTAAAATAAGTTCTTGCCTTACTATGCTGGAACCTGCTGAAGAGCAAGAGAGAGAGAGAGAGAGAAGAAAATATTATAAAATCCGGAAGACTTAGGGTAAAAGAAGGGATGTTACTAAACACAAACGAATTTACCGAGTACCATAGAGCATATTACAAGTTGAAGAGGGTACAGTACCAATTATATCATTATCTCACCCTCCTCTCTGGGTGAATAGTCTGAAAGCCTAAAATTACAGTTGATGTTGGATTTCTTGGCTTCATTTGCAAATCGGAGTCATTTTCCCGCTTTTTGTTGAATGCCATAAACACATGTTTTATTGTTAAAGAGAAGCAGTCCTTACAGTTTGTTATGATATTTTTCTTCTTTGTGTCCCTCATGTCAAAGGGCTTTAAAAAAAAAATTGGACTGTAGCAAATTGGTGTAACATTGTATTTCTGAATGATTTGCAATGGTTTTAAGAACCATTTGTGCTGAGGCTTTCTGGCATGTTATTTTTCAGGAGACCAGATCTGGAGAAGGTCCTTCAACTGGCCAGATGTGCCATTTTGGAACAGATTGAGGGCCTGCCAAAACACCATTTGCTGCCAGTACAGGATATTTTAGGGGTGCTCATCACCCTGTTACCATATTTTTGCACTTCTTAACGTTGCATAAATAGGCAGCTGTTCTGTATTTAGAATATAAATGATCACCAGCTTGCTCTCCCAGGAGGATTTACCTGCAAGAGGGAACTACAGTGTTAACCCCTTCTCATCAGTTGCATGAATGTCACGTTTAAATGCACACTTTCCTCAGCCCATTCAGAAGCAAATCCTTACACATATAAATCACACCTTTCTTGCCAGTTAGACAAGGGGGCCAAAAATGTGCAGTTCACAGTGCTAAAATGAAACACATTTCTTCAGCAGTGAAAGCACTAAATTAATCAGCTTATAAACCGAGAGTGAACAATTCGTGCTGAATTATTTCTTACTGCTCCTTCACTAAGAGAGAAGGTTCTCTAATCTCATAAAGGGCCGTGACTTCATTAAGATGGAAAACCGTGTGAAAGGATGTGTTGCAGGAGACAAGAAAAGAAAAACCCTAAAAGTCACTCAGTTGTCTCTCGAGCTATTTTAAGGACAGGGATTTTTTTTATTTATTTGGAGAATGGCAATTAACCTATAGACTTGGCACAACAGAGAAGCGGAGTGCTGAAGCGGCTCTCATTACAGGACACGGAAGGCAGTTGGTTTGACCTAATCCCCACTTGCAGCACGTGATTTACATAACAGGCTAGCACAAGCTACCTAATGTTGATTTCCAACAGCTTGATGCGTGTGTGTTTCTGGGTGTGTGTGTGTGTGTGTGTGTGTGTAGTTTCATTTTACCTCAAGGTACTTTGGAACCAAACACGTCAGGGTTGGAATGTCCAAGAGCAGAAATAGTGAAGGCAGTCAGGAAAAGCAGAGGCAGTTATGGCATATGGTACATTTGCTGGTTTAAACTACTTTCGTGAATGTTTACCCTAAAATTGGTGTAGCTCTGATTTATCACATAAAAGCAGTCTGATAGGGCTGAGCCACCTCTCCAAGCTTTTCATCTTGTCAGGAGCAGAGAAGCACAGGCAGATAGATAGGTGACATTTGGAGAGCTAGGCATGCCAGATTTTCAGTGGTTACAGTGGAGGTCCAACCTGCTGTTCTCCTTAATGAAAGGAGGGAAATTTCAGACAGGCAAAACTGCTATAAGGGATATCTCTTGCCCTGAATGTCACGCTGCCCAGATGTCACTCGGCAGGTGGAGATGCAGAGAGAATGAAAATGTAGCCCTGCCTATGTGGGTGCTAGCATGCTGTAAGGGTGAACTGTGAGTCTGTCTTCTGAAGTATAATGAAAACTGTGTGGATCTTGTCTGCGTTTATGCCACGTGAAAGGACTTTCTCAAAGAATTCTCACCCTGCTTCCCCTTACACACCAGTAGGCTTGCAGGCTCACAAACCACGTGTGTGTGTGTGTGTGTGTGTGTGTGTGTGTGTGTGTGTGATTTTCTTTACAGAAAATAGAATCATACTAATGAAGGATTCTGCACCTTGCTTTTTTATTCAATCACAGAACTGTACATACATATTCTTCATTTTTTAAGACTTCATTTTTAAAATGGAAATTTTGAGCAAAGGTGCATGATCATTTAGTCAGCCATTCTTCTGTTGTTGACCATTCATGTTGGCTCTAGAAGATTTTAAGGGGAATGTAGCTATATTCTCAGTAAAAATCCAGGCAATTTTGACTAGAACAAGGTAGCCAGGCTTGAAGTTACCTTGTACAACAAAAAGCTTCCGTTACTGTCGTTGAGTTTTCTTTTCCTGTAATTATGTTTCCTCAGTGTTACGAGATGACTTCCGACAAAACCCCACAGATGTTGTAGTGGCAGCTGGAGAGCCTGCAATCCTGGAGTGCCAACCTCCCCGGGGACACCCAGAACCCACCATCTACTGGAAAAAAGACAAAGTTCGAATTGATGACAAGGAAGAAAGAATAAGTGTGAGTTAAATTAAAATCACGGCCCACAGAGATTGAATTCTCAGTCATAAAATAGATGTATTTTATTCTTTGATTTACTATTAATATAATTGTATTTGAATGTTAATTACAATTTACATGCCTTGAAAAGACTTAAAAATATTGGGATGAGACTACAAAGAGACAAAAATTATGTAAATCAAGTGTAGAGGAAATATTAATAATTACACCAATCTGAATTGTATCTTTACACTACAATATTGATGTTTTAGCTCTTTTACAAAATCTCCAGAAGCTTCTATTGATCACATAGTATGAGTTTTAAAGTATAAATGACAGCCATAAACCATATTAACTACATCTAATTTTGTGCCACTTTCCAAAATTATAAGTGAAAATAATTTAAGATGATGAAAATCTCAAATGTTTTTTTCCAGTTTTTCCAATTAAATAATATTTCTAACAGCAAAATTTTATACATGAATTGATTTAAAAGCAAAGTGAATAGATATGAAATAATATCAAATTCAAAATAGCTGACTGATTCTGCATGTTAGCTCATGTAGAAAAATAACTCTGTTTTCAAAGGAAATTGATAATGAGGTTCATCAGTTGATTAAAATTCAAAATGAAATGCACAGAAACAGGGAAATGGCATGTAATCATTTTATTTCTTCAGAGGATCCACGCAACATTTGTATGTGAGGTTTTTAAGCAAGAACAATCTCACAGAAATAGTGTATATAATGGTTTAACTTTCTGATATTATTCAGTAGTATAATTTTTATATTCAATACAACTGAGAGTGAATATATTTTAAGATAATTTATTATTTGACTGAATAAATGTGTCATTTTAATGAAAATTGATAAAGTATTGGTATCTATTATTTTAAAAATATGTTTATTACAAATGAGGATTTTTTTGTATGTGCATAGTGTGATTACAACATAAAATAGAACCAGATACGCTATGGAAGAGACGAAAACATGTATTCATGTGTTTCTGCTATAGAGGCAAAGATAATTTTTCCCTTCACCCTCTAAAGGCTTGTCTTTTAGTCTGCTGAAATAAACTGGCAATAGACAGTTTAATGGAAGGAGAAGCATACGAATGTATTTATATATAAGTGCAAGGGAATCATACAAAGCATAAAACTCAAAGAAGGGCTAGATGGTTGCAGCTTAATTACCCTCTTCATAGGATAGAGGAAAGTGGGGATACTCTGCAATTTTATAGGAGGATTAAATGATTTTCCGAGGAGATGAATGGGTCCAACAAACAACCAAAAGCCTGAGAGGAAGTTCCTCTGGCTTCTGGGAGAGGTGGTGACAAGTTCTGGGACAACGAGGGACAGAACTGCACTGCAAACAGAGGTTGTCTTATTGTGTAGATAAAGGCTCTCAGGTAACAACTGGAAGAAGAATAGTTGAGCAGTCTGTCCAATAGGCATGGTAATGACCTTTAGTTTTTCTTTTGTGATTAATCTTTGCAGGTTAAGGAGATTTCAGATAGGGGATTTTAAGACCCTTGTGTTTCTTTTGGAAGAACTTTTCTCACACAGATAAGGAAACTTCAGAGAGCTGCCCTCTCTGTTCTTGGGGCAAAGGGGAGGGGAGAAACAAAGGAATGTCAGAGAGACATTGATACTGAGGCCGCTTCTAAGGACTTACAATCTCCTTCAGTTCAAAGTACTCAGAAAGCCAAAGCACCACATTTTGGGGTATCGTTTTCTGAGACCCAAAACTAGTTTGACTGTAAACACTGTGATACCTACATTGCAAAGAGAGTTTTGTTCTCAGTAGTCTTGCTTGGGTACCAAATTTATGAAAATGTTCTACTGATGATGGAGTAAAATCAGTGTTTCTGGATTGGTAGTTTATGTTGACAGCATTTAGATCTTGCCTATTTAAAGGTGTGCTGGCAGCTGAGTAATTTAGGACAACCTTACTCACAAGTCTGGCAATTTGTTGACTCGCAGCTGGGTATGTGGGTTCCCCTCCTCATGATCTCTAATTTTCCAGCAGGCTAGTTCAGTCTGGTTCCCATGTTGGTCTCAGGGTTCTGACTGCAGCAAGAGAAGGCAAGACACGGTGGTCAAGTGTTCTGGAAAATCTTTCCTGACAAGAAACCCAAGCGGCACTCAGGGGATCAGAGGAACACAGTTTATTACGCCCGTGGGCCCAGAAGGGTTCACACCCAAAAGTCTGGACCCCAGCTAAGAAAAGTACACAGTTTATAGAGGTAAAGGGGCGGGGGAGTTAACTCAGGGCTTTAGACAACAAGACAGTTTCTCTTAAGGTTTTCCAGTTAGTAAGCAATAAGCTGAGGTACAGAAGCAGAAAGAGGCAGTTACTAACAAAAACGGGCAGTTTTAAAATAGGGACGGTTGCTGACTATGTGCTAACAAAATCCTGGGCAAAATTTCCACCTCACAGGAACCTTTCTTGCAATGAAATACTTGGTTTCATTCCATTGGTCAAATCAAGACATATTACCTAGCTCTCAGCTTCAAATGGAGAAGTGACCTTCGTAGCCATTTTTATAACCTCTCATTTCATTCTACCAGAAAGAGTTGAGAATAGGTTGATGATCTTTTCCTCCTATGTTAAAAAAAAAAAAAAAAAAGTTGAAAATCCCTTTCTATAACACGACAAGTTGTGAATCTTGAAACATCTCTGATAAGAGCCAACCTACATGAGTTGTGTTTGTCTGTGAAATTAAAAAATGTCGGAGAAAACCAACATGTTCTTATCTTGAATTTCTTCAAGAACACTCAATCATTGTAAAGCTAATATTGAATTAAATTAACACGCACACAGACACACACACACAAAACTAGAAAAGAAACTATGAGTTATACATTTACTGAAAGCCTAACTCTGCTTTAATGTTCTCTTTAGCAAATGTATATTTTAGTATTATTGCATTTGTTTTTTCAGCCAATAAATGCTTCTCATTTAAGAAATCTTCAAGGGAAAACTATTAGATACTAATGATTTATACCAATATATATATAATCATTTTATAAATTGTCATAGTTTTTATCCAACCTGCTGTTTTCACCAAGAATTGTATCTTAAATACAATTAAGATTAGATAAAGGTGATTAATACTAACAGTTGAAATGTGAATTCTAGGGAGGCAAAGATTTTTACTGTTTTATTTACTACTGTATCCTAAGTGTCTGGAATACTACCTACCCCACATAAATCCCACATAAATACCATATATATATATATATATATATATATATATATATATATATATATATAATCCCTCTGATTCAGCTGGATTTTATTAGATTATTTAAAAGGAATATCTAGTGTTTCTTTCTGATGACAAATGACAATAGCAATTTCTTAAAATGAATTTCAGTATGAAAACTAACAACCGGAAATTAGTGGGGTCAGTTACAAGACTCAAAATTGGATCAGGAAAGAGAGGACAGCTGCCTTGAAGAAATATTTTCTATGAAGAAAATATGGAAACTTATATTGAGGGAGAATGTAAGAAAAGAAAGCATACCTGCAAATGCCAAAATAATGGGAGAATTTTTTCCTTTGGGAAACAAATATGCTTAAATACTCAAAACTATTGATTAATGACCTTTTGTTTTCTATTTTGTTCTCTCTTCTTTCCCTTCTCTTTTCTTTTTGTTTGATTTTAATAGATCCGTGGTGGAAAACTGATGATATCCAATACCAGGAAAAGTGACGCGGGGATGTATACTTGCGTTGGTACCAATATGGTGGGAGAACGAGACAGTGACCCGGCAGAGCTGACTGTTTTTGGTAAAACTTTATTCTGAATTATAAATTTTTATTTGTATCAACTTTCTTTGCTTTTAAGTGTTATTAACATTAAAAACAAAGCCGTTTATAGACAGTTACTCATGCCTTGTGGTAAGAAGTGACAAATTAGAATTATCTGACTCTCTGTCTTTCTAATAAAAGCTTTGATGTAAAGAAAAAATTATTTGTAACTTTAATTCGCCTACATTGTCAATATATTTGTAAGATTTTGCAGCTCATCAAAATGTAAAAATATGCTCTTTCTCAAAGTCTATTTGAGATATTACATCTATCTAAAGTTTATCACTCGTTCTACTCTGATGCATTTATCAGGTAGCTATTATGTACAAGACACAGGGTAAGGTTTTTAAAACTTAGGGAGTTTGGAACAAAAAACTTATTTTCCAGTTTTTAGAAATTCAAACTGATGTATTTTTAATTTCAACTCTTGACAAAAATACTATGTATGCACATATATAAATTCAATATTAGGAAAAGGACCCTCAAAATAAGGTATTTTGTTATGACATTCATGTTTCTTCAACTTTAAAAACCAAGGCTCCCCTTAGCTGGAGAAATGCGATTAGTAGCTTAAAAATTGATTAGAGCCATATAACATAACCGGTGGATAAAGTATCAGAAAAGACAAAACTTGGGACGAATAAAGACGGCCAAGGAAACAAAGTAAGAAAAATACTGCAGGGAAACTGAAAGATTGAAAAAGATATAAAATGACAAAAAATTGGAGAAAATAGATATTCTAAAGACACTTGAAAATGGAACACTCTTTTAGGATACATTGAAGTTCTATTCAAATCTCTGCATAGACACACATATTTATAGACACGCATACATGTACATATATGTATGTATGTATATGTACATGTGTATATCTACAATCTTCACTAAACATTTTACTAATGCAGATATTATGTGATTTTTTTAAGTGCAAAGAAGTCTGTGATTTTTAAATTATTTTTCAGTGCGAGTGAAATAATCCTCTACTTCTGTGCATGATATAAAATTCCTTTTTCTGGTCATTACTTCAGGACATACCCAAGTGTAGCACCAAAGTCCTGCATAGGTCCCTAAAGAAACTTCCTTTGCAGTTTGGGAGCTGCCTCCATGGTGTAATGGTAGTGACACTGTAGAAAGAGCTGTATTCTGATTTCCATTTTATTTCCAGAGTTAAGATTGTGCTTTATGCATATGTACCAGAATGCAGGCCTCTCGTTTCAATCATTCTGAGCACCAGGTAATCTCTGGTAACACCCCCTGTGGCTACTAAGCAGCTTGACGTCCCAAACGACAAAGCTAGGAGAAATCCCATAATTCATTAAAGGAATTGAATAGAAAAAAATAAAATTGTTCAAAGTATTCATGTAAATTTCTCTCCTGCAGAGCTCAGACAAGTGTCAGTTTGCCCCTACATTTCATGCAGTCATTTATAAGAGTCTCAAGATGTGCTCCACTCTGTAATGAATAAAACACACTTTTTCCTGGCAAGACATGATATTAGTGGTCACTGAATATTAGCACTGAAAGCCCACATGTACAGCTCTTGTATTTATAGAAACACTCATTGCTATTTTTCTGTAACTACCACAAACTCTGGAATAGAAAAAAAAAAAAAAAAAAAAAAACTGTATTATTGCAGTATAGATTGCCTTCAGAAGGAAATTGAAAGGGTTTAATGTCATTACTGAAGCAATTAGACTTACCACTAATGAGACATTCTTATGAAATATTTACTCTACTTTCCCTAAAGAAATGATGAGAACTACTGGGGATTCCTAAACATGTCAAGAGTTATGTGGGAACTTCTAAATTATTTTGAAAATAGCTATCATCCAAAGAGATTGAATTTGTCTAGAGGCAGTTCCCATGGCAAAATTGATTTAGAAAGTGAGAAATGTTTATTAGATGGTGTAAGCTAGTCAGAACTGACCTGAGGGGTTTTAAGTACAAGATTAAGTTGAGGGAAAAAGTAACTTTCCATTATTGGTTTAAAAAAAAAAAAATCCAAACCCAAAAGAAGAACAAAAAAAAAACAAAAGTGGTGGTCCCAATCAAGGATGTTTTAAGTATTGCCAGAGAGACCCCTTCTGTACCTTGACTCCCTATTCTCAGAGAACACAAAAGAAACAGTATGCTATTAATAGTGAGGCCTCCTATATTTTATGCTGGTGCTCCTACATCTAATACATGTTTTCCAATAAAACTCTTCATAGTTTAGCATTGTTAGATATTATCATTTTTTGACCTAATGTTTATGTAAGTAAAAGTGATTACATTTCATACTCTACCTCTCTCAATTTTATTTTCATGGAGCAGCAATTTCACTTTAAAAAGTCTGGCTATTATAACCACTCTGTAGCTACAGACGATTTTTAAATGTCCTTTGAAAATATATTTTATTTGTAACATTTGTAAAGTATAATGAGTATTTCAAAACTTAGAATGAAATACAGGAATCTCTTGTCCCAACACAGACACACAGACACACAGACGACACACACATCTCATCATTTTACATTGTCTTTTATCTCATTCTCCTGGAATCTGTTTCCATATTTCTGAATGTGCTTAATCTGCTATTTATCGTATCAATTTCATGCATTATTTGACTTTTTATTATGGAAGATGATGACTTGGCCCACTTATATCTCCTTCCCCACCTTCTCACCTTCACTTTTCCTTCTTTTTCTTTTTAGTGTATGAACTTTAGAAATATTGGTTATATTAATATTCAGAATTTGAGTTCTTATAGCCATGTAAATATTATTGACTGTGAGTTGAATGTTATAGTATTATGACCATATTTCTTTTCTGGTACTATTTTTGTTCTTCTTTGAATTTGAATAAAGCCATTTTCCCATTTACTTATGTTTGTCTATACCTGCTATGGATCCTTGAAATCTCTAACAGAAACTATAAAATCTTCTATAATCTATTTTTTGGACTTTAACTATGAAGACCCCTTCACTACAGCCTTCCCTGAGGCTTCAGACATTATGCCTAATCTGACTGGGCTAAATGTTGCTTAATTAGGTCTACCCCATAAACCTCATTCTGATTTTGTCTTCCTCTTCTCTAATGTTGGATCTGCTATTTTCTGCATCCTGTGTTTGTTTCTTTCTTGGTTAACAGCTCTTTTCCGAAGGATTCTCAACTTCTTTTCTGCTTGGCAGAAGCTTGGAGCACACTCCCAACCAAAATGCCCTTATTCTATACAGACCTTAGAGTTCTAGTTTAGAATTCTACTTTAGTTAGGGAATTCTACTTAAATAATATTTTTGATCAGAATATTAAAGTTGTGACTCTAATTAATCATTTAGCTTCTTATGATGCTCTTGAGAAGTCTACTGTGATTCTGATTCATTTATCTTTGTATGTGATCAGTTTTCTTTTTTTTTTTTTTTTTTTTCCAAATGTTTGGTACTCACTTTACCACCAGTTTTCTGAAATGTTTCAACACATTACCTTAATTTGGCACTCTTTTCTTTTCCTGGCTATGTAGTTGATGAGCAATCTTAATCTGAAAACTCTCAACCAAAACAATTCAATGAAATTTTAATTAATTAATGAATTAATTTATTTTTCTTTTTCAAGCATGATTTTATTAATTAGATTTTAAACCTCTACAGGTTTTTCTTTTCTCTAATTCTTCCTTACTTATAACATCCTGTTCTTGTTTCATGGGTGTTTCATTCTCTTATAGCAGAGAATATTGCTTTTGTAATTTTTATTTTATTTTATGCATCAGCTTTTAAGTACCTGAGTACACATGCAGGATGTGCAGGTTTGTTACATAGGTAAACTTGTGCCATGGTGTTTTGCTGCATAGATCAACCCATCACCTAGGTATTAGGCCCAGCATCCATTAGCCGTTCTTCCTGATGCTCTCCCTCATCATGCCCCTCTGACAGGCTCCAGGGTGTGTTGTTGCCTCCATGTGTTCATGTGTTACCATCGTTCAGCTCCCACTTATAAGTAAGAACATGTGGTGTCTGGTTTTCTGTTTCTGCGGTAGTTTGCTAAGGATAATGGCTTCCACCTCCATCTTTGTCCCTGCAAAAGACATGACCTCATTCCTTTTTATGGCTGCATAGTATTCCATGGTGTATATGTACCACATTTTCTTTATTCAGTCTATGATGGTCATATGGGTTGACTCCATGTCTTTGCTATTGTGAATAGTGCTGCAATGAACATACATGTACATTTATAGTTATAATAGAATGATTTATATTCATTTGAGTATATGCCCAGTAATAGGATTGCTGGGTTGAATGGTGTTTCTGCTTCTAAATCTTTGAGGAATGATCATATTGTCTTCCACAATGGTTTAACTAATTTACATTCTCACCAAAAGTATAAAAGCATTCCTATTTCTCTGCAACCTCACCAGCACCTGTTGTTACTTGACTTTTTAATAATTGCCATTCTTACTGGCTTGAGATGACATCTCATTGTGGTTTTGATTTGCATTTCTCTAATAATCCACGATGTTGAAGTTTTTGTCATATGTTTCTTGGCCACATGAATGCCTTCTTTTGAAAAGTATCTGTTCATGTCTTTTGCCCGCTTTTTAGTGGGATTGTTTTTTTCTTATAAATTTGTTTAAGTTCCTGGTACACTCTGGATATTACACTTTCATCAGATGCATAGATTGCAAATATTTTATCCCACTCTGTAGGTTGACTGTTAACTCTGATGATAGTTTCTTTTGCTTTTCACAGAATTTTAATAACACTTTTTTTTTAAGTGACATCATTTTGTGATGCTTCTCTGCCTTTATTTCCTCTTACTCTTCCCCACCATCACCCTCTCCTGGCCTCCGGCCACATTGTTCTCTGTTTCTTCACTGGAAGCTTCTTTCAAATGGCACAGGATCTATTGTTGTTAATTTATATGTAGTTGTTATTTTTTAAAAAGATTACCAAAAACTCTGTGCTAACTGATGATTTTCACTATAGGATGTTCAGATTGAGAACTAA